GCCGACGGCCTGCAGGTGGGCCTGTCGCGGCCGGGGGGGCAGCGGCAGCGGGGGCCGCGGGCCCCCCTGAGCTCACCCGCGCCGGGGGAGCCGCGCACCCTGCGGGTCCGTACCGGAAAGGGCTGGGGCTGGGGCAGCGGGTCAGAGGGCGGCGGGGGGCGTTCCTGCTGGCGGGCCCTGACCCGGCTGCGCTCGGCAGAGCTCCGGGGTATCCGAGGAGGAGCTGACCAAGACGATGGAGGGCCTCGGGCTGGAGGACGGGGATGGCGGCGAAGGGACCCTCTGGCCCTTCATGCAGAGCATCATGCAGAACCTCCTCTCCAAAGACGTGCTCTACCCGTCCCTCAAGGAGATCACGGAGAAAGTAAGAGACCGCTCAGTGGGACCGGCCTGCCCGCCTGCCCGTCCGCCCGCTGGACGGAAACCGCCGTTTTCCAGTCCGACTCCCAGAGCTGGCTCCGCAGCTCTTCCCGCCCCACCTCCTGGGAAAGGAGGGCAGTCCGGCATGCGTGGCCCTGACCCTGCGGGGTGGACCTTTCTCCCCTTCCCACAGTACCCGGAGTGGCTACAGAGTCACCGAGACTCCTTGCCCAAGGAACAGTACGAGAAATACCAGGAGCAGCACAACATCATGGGGAAGATTTGTGAACAGTTCGAGTCTGAGCTGCCGACGGACGGTGACACAGAGCACAGGGCACGCTTTGAAATGGTCTTGGACCTGATGCAGCAGGTGAGGGGCCCGGTCGGCCGGGTCGTGGGGGATGCGCAGGGCTGGGGGCTAATGGCGTTCTTTGCCTTCCAGCTCCAGGACCTGGGACACCCTCCCAAGGAGCTTGCAGGAGAGTCGGTGAGTGTCTGCTCCACTGCCCCCCCCCATTTCCTGAGGCTTGGGTTTGGAGCCACGGTCTTGCCAGCAGCTTTGGTGAGGTTTGGCGTTGCAAAACGAAGAGGGCAAAGGTGGAAAAAGGGGCATTGCCATGCCCCAATGTGCCTTGGTTCTGGAGGATGCTTCGTAGGGCAGCTTGAGCCTGCAGGTGTTTCCTACAGCCAGATAACAGCCTGTTCTTTCCAGCAAAAGAAGGATCTTGCAGTGTCTCGAGGGGCAACGTCCACAGCAGCATAGCCAGCATACGCTCTCTGTAGAGAAACGTTTGCAGGCTTCTTTCTTGTGAACAAACATTCCTCCTTTTCCAGCCTCCTGGCCTGAACTTCGACCTTGAAGGACTGAATCTGCCCGATGCTGGAGGCGCTGGAGGCGAGCAGTGCCAGATTATGTGACCTGCTCCTGTGCCAAGGGAACGGAGGAGCCGGGAGGGTGCTGTGGTGGGGCGAGGTGTTTTTTCCCCTCTCTTTTCTGTCATCACCAGGTGCCTGAGGCTGGGCTGCCTTTGCTAAATATGGCACGTGTTTGTTTTTTTTGCACGGATCCCACGAGGGATTTAGCAAGCCAGAGTGATGTTGCCTTGAGGTCAGGTACCCGGCCTTTCCTCTTGGCTCCTGAAAAGGCTAACTGCACTGGAGTGCCCAAGGGACGTCTCTTCCTTCCTGCCCTGGGTTGAAGGATAGGCTCTCCGGATGGGACGGGGTGGTTGTTGGTGAAACTAGTCAGGCAAAGGGAGGAGGCAGCGACTCACGAGAGAGTCCTCTGGGTTAACAGAGACCTTTTCCATCCTCTCCGAAAGGCCACAGCTCTGCTGCTCCTTTGTGGCAGCTCTGGCAGCGGCGCTCTCTTTGGAGACCCACAGCTTAGATCTGCAACAAGCTGCCCCTTCCCTTGAGCCCCAGCAGGTCGTGGTCTCTGAATCAGCCAGAGGCCACACTTCGACAATGGCTGGCAGGCTGACCAGCTCCCTGTACTTGCCCACAGCTGTTCCTGCTCAGCTTGGGGCTTCCAGCTGTTCCAGGCCAGCTGTTTCCTTGGGTTTTTTTGCTGCAGGCCAGAGTATTAATATTCCCCTGCTGTATGTTAACGCTATTGCTTCACGAGAACTGCCTGCACAGGGAGACGGCTGGGGAGCAAGCTGCCTGCAGGAAGGAGAGCTGCTCTCCTTGGCTGTGTCTGGCCGAATTTAACATGGGTTTGGGAAGGGTAATTCTTGAAATAAAAGTGGAGGTCGATGGTTTGAAGTTGTGATTATTTCTGTTAATCATTATGAGCAGAGGAAGCCTGCCAGTTTCAAATCTTGAGCAGGGGGAGCCTGTAACAGCCCAGCTTATGGTTGTGAGCTCCACAGGTCCTTTATTGTGTGGGAAAATGGGTAATCGGCAGTGGAGTAGTAATAGCTTTTTTTAGGACTAATCAGGGTGTTTCCAAATTGTAGACACGTTGAACACGCACACAGATCATCAGATGCTCCTTGTTCTTTTGTGGCAGGAAGCGAAGAAGCGTGTTCTTTGGGATGCAACCCTAAATGGGGAGGAAGCAGCCCTGAAGGACTTGCAGTGGGCCTGGCTTTTGTGAGAACTGGCTGAGGGGGTGGTGCTCTGTCTTAGCCTCTGCTTACACCTGAGCAGGGGGTGGTCCTGCCCATCTTCTAGGGCTGCTGGCTGCTCAGGAACTAGCGTGAGCAAGGGAAGAGGGTGCTCCTCCACACCTAGCCAACCTCAGGAAATGGAAGATGGGGAGGGCTGCAGCGATGGCCTGAGCTTTTGGCGGCTGCCGCTGCTCTGGGGGTTTTGGTGCTCCATTCGGGGCGCTTCCTCTGCTTGCCCGGAGGAGGCTTGCCCTGGGGGCAGGGATCTTGGCACAGAGACCCTTTGCTGTTTTTAAGGAGCGTGGAAGGACTTTGCACCCGCTGACAGGCTGCCCGGGAAAGGGGCGCGATGGGGAAAGAGGTTGCCTCCGGGGCAGAGTCCCGGGCTCCAGAATTGTGTACGGCTCGTTAGGGGGAATACAAGGGTCAAAGGTCAGCGAGTCTTGGATGCGGGGGGGGTCCCCAGCGCTCACAATGTGAACGTCTGAAAGGGCCGGAAGCAGAAGTCAACCGTCGGAAGTCGATCTGTTTCTGTCACAAGCGAATAGCGGGAGACCGGCTGGATCTGGGTGGCTGCGGCCCTGCCCGGGCAGGTGCCGCGGTCCCACGTAAACATCGGCCAGGAGCTCCGCGGCGCTTCCGGGCTCCCTTCCGCCAGCATCCAGAGCCTTCTCTGTGGTTCTTCTTGCCCCGCCTCCGTCCGGAGGGGCCGCTCTGGGCAGTCGTCTCTAGGGCACTTCCTGGGCCTCCCTGGTGTCCCCGCCTCTGCCGTAAAAACGCGGCGAAGGGCCGTAAAGCGCGGCTGTCGGGCAGAGCGGAGGAGGCGGAAGGAGACGCGCGGCGCCGGTTGGGCGACAAAATGGCGGCGGCGCCTGGGCGTCCCGGGGGCAGCACCGGCGACGGGGCGGCGGGAGGAGGAGGAG